TGCTGTTCATTCGACAAAGAAAGAGTTTAAAGCGGTCTCTCACATACTGCTAACTACTTTTCTAGCAATCTTCAAGCAACGAAGTGGGATAAATCAGTCATAGTTTTTTTTGTTGTCCTACCATCGACGAGTGTCTTGATAAAAGTCGGCATGCGCCAGTAGAGTTCTGCAGAAGAAGTGTGAGAAGCCAGCAAGCGCACTTTACGGTGTCACCTACACAGCAATTGTCTGGGTCTTATAGTTAGTTAGTTAAAGGATTTGTTCTCGCGGGGAAGAAAACGCACGATTATCGTCGTTCTTCAGTGCATCTCCCACTTTATTCCTTTGTACTGTTTTAGTATCATCATTTCAAATAAGTATTTTTTAGGACGTCCAGTGTGTGTACTTTATTGTTTGCTTGGATCATGGGAAAAAGCTGCCTTCGTATGTTTTGCTTATTCGAACAGTAGAGGGCTTGTCAAAAACCGAGTCTAGGAAAATGTGATGTGTTCCGATTCTCACCGTTTGATTGGTTCCAAAAGCTTGGACGTCGTGACTGTGGCCAATAATACAGATTTTAAATTGTTTTGTTTGGGACGATTTCGCAATTTTCAGCCGCTGAGAATAAGGTTTGAACTCTATCTGGTTAACATACTATAATCCTCAGGATTTAAAAATTTTGTGTAAACCAACAGTATAAAAGTTGCAAAAATTAACTTCTGTAGGCGATGAGTCCGCTAGTTACATTGTACTAAATCTGTTACTCTTTGTTTTCTTTGTTCACGCAACATCTCTGCAGTACACGAGCAATAGTTGGGCATAGTGATGCGTGTGTAACATCTCGAAAAGCCCAATTAGAAATTCAGGCAATTTTCTTCTCCTTCTATTCAATGTGAAGACAAAATAAAAGCACATTTTCTCTCTCAGATGATTAACATCAAATAACAATCGGTGATAGACTTACAAACTTAGGGATATCACAGTCATGCATCAAAAATTTTGGTACTTTTCCGTTATCCGGACCCATTTTTGCAAAAGGCTCTCAAATTATATGTTCTTCAGCGTAAGAATGATTTTTCATAGGAAAATGTTCACTTTCAAACTGTTTGATCGAAATGAGGCCAAAATTAACTAAAAAACAGATTGAACTTACATCGCCTAGTTAGGGTAACACAAACTCTTCGTAAAACCTGTTAAACATGTAGATGAACGTCAAATTTTTTTTGTCACGTGGCAGAGGGGTGACACTCTTCCCTGTGAAGCTGGGACAAAATATGGTACAAGGATAGAAGCAATATCTTTCTCTGAAAAAATGGGTCCGGATAACGGAAAAGTACCAAAATTTTACCTGATTCATAGACGAGAGATAAGCTTTGAATACTTCACAGGAGGATTATTCATGTTCATTTCCAACCTATCTTTAACACCTTCTTTATATCATCAAAGAAGGCGTTCTATGTATCCGCCTTCGTAACAAAAAACCTTGTATACATAAGCTTGCCGATTGCTTTTTAAGCAAACGGGAGGACAACCTGATCAACGATGCGAACACATTGCTGGAAAAAAGGAGCAAAGTGAACATTACTTAAGCGGGCCCGAACGCGGGGCGCGTGACGCCGCTTGTGAACATTAGCTAAGCGGGGAGCGCGGCGCGCGCTTAACGCCATCGTGAATGCTGCGCTTCATGCGCCTAGGACCGCGTTTGTATCAGATTTTGAGCCTTTATACAGCAGTAGACCTTACTCTTCAAATGTTCCCATCTCGAGATCACCTCCGAGCTCCTCCACGTTCATTACTCTGCTCCGTCGCTGGTAATTCACAGGAGCTCTTTCGGCCGTTATCTAAACACCTCTTATCACTTATTCCTACCTCTAGGTTTTGCCTACATGTCTGAAGGTAATGAACAGAGCCACTTTCGTCTGATAAGACTCTCTTTTCCAAGATTCTGTGAATTTTGAAATTTCTCTAAAAGCGCTTCAGACATTCAGTTGTGATTTGAATTGAATGTTTGCGGGTAATCATGTTGTTTTAATTTTGAGTTCTTTTGGAATCAGAATTCTTTAGCACATGTATTTTTAGCTTCAAGCATTGTTTGATGCAACCACTTAGGAGCCATAACATGTGGCAAAGTTCATCTGTCACTAAATTTGAATCACGAACAAGAACGACCGTATACTCCGAACAAGGTTTTAATGCAAGGGCTAATCTATCAGTAATGAAGAGAATTTCAATAACGAAATGTACAGCAGAAAATTAGAAGTTTGTGGCTTTGTGTTCTGATAGGGTGATTGATTCATTGTGATACGTGCATGTTGCAACGTGAGCTGCTCCTAATGACTGTAACTTTCACAATTCCTACATTTTCCTGCACTCTTCTGGAATTGAATTGTTGGCGAAGATGGAAGCAAAAGTTTGAATAGCACAATGACGTCGATTTCATCAGCACTTTTGCTGTCATGCATTACGTTTGCGGTATTGCATTACCTTTTAGACCAAAACAAAAAGGTTAGAGTACCATTGCAAAAGGTACCTGAGATGTCTGCAATTGATAATGGGATTTGGAGGAATTGTCAGTAGCAAAGGTAAGTCGAAGAGAAAGGTGAAGGAAGCTGTAAACTCAACAAGCTCCCCACTAATGGTGTTGAACTGCTGTCTAATGATCTAATGATTGCTGATCAAACGACACCTTTTGGAACATAATGGTGTCTCTTAATTTTTTCCAACATCATCGGAATGAAACTGAATGAGTATAGCGCGACACTGCCACCTATGTTTTATCATGTGGTGGGTTTGGTCCTTGAGAAACTAGCGAGACGATTTATGCTCCATCACAGGCCAGAAGCATCAAACGTAATAAAAGCTCGGAATTATGCGCTTTGTGCTTTACAACTTGCCAGAATATCAGGAACGTGACAGCGCGTACAAATTGATAGTGTGCGTTGCTCCACACTGAGCAATTGTTTTGATATAATTGATAAAAATACAACTTTGGAAATCACATATATCGAAAGTCAAAGAACCAAGTGTGATAAATCGTTGCAAAAAGTAGTGTCTATAACGGTGTCAATCGCATGCATGTTACACCTTGATCGGTCAGAATTACATGATTTGTTTGACACTATGGTATACTAGTGTCTCGTAGCGTTGTGTAAAGGATGACAGTCATGAGCAACATCACATGCGAGCTATACTTTCTTGTAGATGAAAGACAAAGAATGCTAATTTCATGTCCGCAAAACAACGCACTTGAAAAAAGAATAAGGATGTTGTCTAGTAGTGATTCATATAAAGATGACAAAATTTGGAAGAATTCAATGACCCCAAACAGCAGGAAAAATTACAAAATTCGTACTCAGCAGCGTGTTATGTCTATATCTCAAATTCTAGCTTTGACAATATCGAGCAAATGCATTTATCATCTATATAACCTTATTAACCTTTTGTCTCCAAATGTAGAAACAAGTCACGTTCACTTTTGAAAGTAATACAATTGTTGTGATAGAACGCAAAACGTTATGGTTGAAAGCCTCCTTGGGAACTACTGATGAAGGGCATCAAGGAAGCTGCACTGCCGGTAATGTTCTTAGCCTCAACCGAATAGTGTAAAAACAGATACAAAAACTGTTGTGAAATTTTGTATTTTTAGGCATTCTAGTTCCAAACATCTCAATTCAATCAACACTTTTTGTCTTTTTGGTGCAAACTTTTCAATATCTTTCAAATAGCAAATAGATCACCTTGGACATAATTGTTTAATCTGGTGCTCCACTTTTCAAGAATGCTCTCAAAAATTTTCAGAAACAAATTGTCATCAAGATCTTCACATTTCTTTGGATCTACTATGCTACTGGTGCCGAGCTTATAACTAGTTGAACTGTGCATGCAGCACATGCATTACGATTATCTGAACTTACGTGGTTTTTAACGGAAATTTTTGAATTTACCGTTCACCAGAGTCGGGCTTCGATTCAACTGATGGATCGAGGAGGCTAAATCTGGTCTGCAGGTGTTCTATATCTTTTGCACCTCCCTAACAACATTGCTGTCTAGGTCATTTGTGGCAGTCTTTTTTTTGGTTTGGCATCATTCTTGTTCTCCGTAGTACGCACCTTCTCATTTTCAAAAGACATTGTTTCTGTTTGATTCTGCTTCATAAAATAGTCTACTTCTCTAATTGCTCTCGAGCATAGTTTTAAATGTAATTTGCCGTACGAGTCATGCCTTCCAATAGATCAAGCAAAGCGAGAGCAGGTTACTCTTCATACTAATCGCGATCACTAATTCTTTGAGCAGTTCAAACACTCAAAAACGTTGAATTTTCGATATCATGGAAGATCATATGGTAGGAGTCTGTCAATGTAAAGATGTCAAAATTTTTATTTAGAGTATATGTGGACATAGATGTGATTGAAATCCTGTTACTTATCCTGTTTTCTCGTTAAATGCAAGTAAATTATGACTGCGCACCCTTAGCATACTTGCAATGCCGCTTCAACGGATCATTTACAATAATTTTGCCATTTATTGTTACATAACCAATAACAAAGATGACCAAAACAAACAAACTACAGAAATTTCGCTGCATCGCAACATTTAGTAAAAACTAAAATCTTGTAAATAGTTGAGTCTGCAAAAGATTCGGATTCCTAATCTTACATTATGTGGCTTCAACAATAAAGTTGAAACTTGCGTAATGCTTTTTCTTGGATACAATGATGAACAAACCTGACAACAAGCGGAATCACATCATTAGCATGTGAGGTGCTAAGCTAAACTCAAATCGAAAAAAATAAAAAAAAATAGGATTTGATTTAACAAGTTGTATAGCTTCGAAGAAAGTTAAAGCTTTCGACGTATGTGCAAAAGCGCTACATCTTGGAGCTGCAAATTGCAAAATTAAAAATCCAAGCTTTTTTGAAAGCAGACTTATCTACAAGATTTTAGAGTGTTTGAACCGAATATGTTGCTGTTGAATCCTAAAGCGGAGAGGAAAAAGTACCATTCACCCTAGTCAAATCTAATCACTCCCGTCTGTTAAGGCCATTTATAAGCTTTGAGAATGATGGTTGGAAGAGGCACAAGACGACCTTTTGTGTAAGCGGTTTTCGTCTGGTAAAGGTTCTTTTCAGGAGCTGGTCCTCCATGGCACACCCGAAATCTATCGCTCGAGATTCGAGGCCAATTCGTTTCAACTAAAAATAAAAGTTTTGGTGGTTGTTGCAGATAAACTGATGTGTAGTTTCGGACTACAATACATAAGCGGAAAAGCAATCCAAAGAACATATCGCACAGCCTAGTCTTGTCACAGTGGAGAGGTCAGCGCAGATGGAACCGGGTCAAGTTGAATATCGTTCTTATGGAAAAAAGAGGATATCGTTTGCGGGGTACAAAGCAGAGCAATGGGAGAAGCGGCAAAATTTAGTGCCGTTTTCCAGTACCATAAAAATTAATATATTCCAACTTTTCCTTCAGGCTCGTTTACACTTGCACATCAGGGTTCAAGTCAGGGGGTGTGCATACCGCCGGCATTCTCAAGTCTAATCTGACCACCGCCATGCCGGCGGCCCGCACTGACAGCGCGGGAAAAAACTATGCTTTGAACAAACAAAAATCTTTTTACAACTAAATCGTTGTGATATGACACCAAACTTGGTGTACACATGCGCGTAAGGGAGCTCAAACTAGCCCAAAATTTATGAGAACTTATTGGATGAAAGCCGTGCTTAACTTTTTTCACTAAACTAGAATCTCTTCAGCTGAATGAGCTGGATGCTTTGCCCCCAAAATTCCATATTTTTATAAAAGTTAAAGTATTTGTAAATATCTCCACTATAAGACTTTCCATACAAGCAAAAAACGGTCTCTTGATCTTTCTTCTAAGCTTTTTTATAGCCCTCAAAAAATTCTCGTTAGCATCGCAGTCTGCCTGATCGCAAAGCGCGCTCCTAAGCAAACCACGTTCGGCGTTGACATGCTTCTTTCTATCTCCCTTTGCCTTTTTATGCTCTTTCTTGTTATACATTCGTCAACATTTTCAGAATTGGGGGCGGAGGAGGTAGGAGAAGAGGGGGAAAGGAGGGCGGAAAAGTGGAAAGTGAGGTCTTGGAGGGGTGGAAAAATGTGATTTAGATTTCCGGCTCCAGCCGTGGAGTGAACGCGTTCCGCGCACGATGCAAAGGGTTATGCAGTTTTCTAAGGACTACACAAGTAAAAAAGAAGATAAATAGTGAGGGATGTCCAAAAAAGGTCAAAGGGAATTTTGTAAAGAAATTTATAACAAAGAACTCCGTTTCAAAATTCCTCTGGTTCCATCTGGTGCCGAACTCTGTGCCACACTTAGGAAGATATCTAAATAAAGACTCACATACTTGTTACTTTAGCTGTTGGAAAATTTTTGTTTCACTGAGGATTTTCATTTTGCAACGGTCAGTGGGCGATTGACAGTTGAGATGTTAGTCTACATAATTTGTGCAAGAAATAGAGTTCTTTATTTCGCAAAATGTGCGCGTCATGCGATTCTAGCTTTGCATGCACTTTAGACCTTACCTTCTTAAACACCTTCTTCCATTTTTTCGCGACACTCTTAGCAATATTCTTTGTAGTCTCCGAGCTAAAATAATAGTGTTGATATCTTATTGGTAGTTATAATTACAGGGTGCGGAAAAAGTACTGTCCCTCAAAATAAAGTTTGAAAAATCGGCGTAATTCACAGGTTTTTCTGGTAAATTTAGCATAATTCCCAAAATGTGGATGTATTTTAGCATTTTACGAAAACTGGCCTCAAAGTTCTACAAAGGGACCCTGCGGCGGATCCCTTTTCGCAGCCCATCTCATATCAAATCTTGCAACTCCCCATTACAGATGTGAAGAAGTATCAAGATTTTTGAGAAATTTTTTTGTTTGTCACGCGAAATTGAGAAATCCTCTACTGGTTAAGGAATGTGGTAGTGAATACCGAGATATTCTGAAAGTAGCCAGTAAACAGTGGCGCTAGTAAAAAAGCTGTGAATTTTTCTAACGAGGAAGTGGCTGCGGCGCAGCAGAGTGCGTTCAGAAAACGTGGCACAGAGAATAAATATAATCGTTTATCGCTCCAAAATCGTGCTGTAGACAAAGTCCGATGCTATTTTCATTGTTCCTGTTACTTTTTGTTGTAATCTGGAACTTCGAAACATAGTATGGACCCAATTCGTTAAGCAAGCGCAGGCCTGACTCGCCTCTTTTCGAGAATTTTTTCGATTTGCGGGTGATAAAATCTTCCTTATTTGGCCAAAGCAAGAATCACTAATCCATACTTTATCTATAGTGGGTATAGAATATTGGAGAAGAGATCATGCGCTACATACTAGCTCAATTTGAACCTTATATCGATGCTGGTGGTATGGTCACGGTCCAAAATTGCGCTTGTATGCCATCGGCGCATCGTTAATGTTCTTGCGCGCTGTTATCACTCGTTCAAACGGACAGAAGAAAAGAGTTTCAAATCAAAGTTATCTTTATCTAATCTTAACGATCTCGCCTACGTGTGGAATCAAAAGCTACAGATTTACTTTATGTTTGAGGTATTTCAGGAGACAAGTTGGAGGGACAGTACTTTTTCCGCACCCTATATATGCAAAGACAGATAGTCGTACAGATCATGGCCTTCAATGAGCATCACATAGTAACGAGTGCTCTTGATCTTTGAGGTTACACGAGACCGCAGCTCTAACAACTCTTTTTTCAGTTCAAACATAGCCAAGAGTAATCGTCCGCAAGAATAGGTCTGCAAAGAATGCCAAAGCTGAGAATTATGATTGTTTAGTATTAAAGGCACCGTCCATCCAAGATGGAGTTGATGAGGCTTTGATGCTTAACAATGATGAGGCCCTCAACGTATTCCAACTCGCGCTGGTAAAAGCTGCTTCTGAAGCGAGAAAATTCCATCGAAAATCGCTCGGATGACAGTTTCGCCACGTTGGGTCCCCTCTTCGGGTGGGCGTGACGTTCGTACCGCCCATCCGTGCGCACCCAACCAATCATCGTGAACTCGCCCTGCGGGTTCTGGAAACGATTTCTCGAGGTTTTCGCGGATTCTCGATTTGATATTCGGAATCAGGGGTACGAGAAGATTCTGGAATGGCAAAAGCATAGGAGTCGAAAATTTGGGTGGACGGTGTCTTTGAGGCTTCTTCGCAACCATGCTTCTCGCATGTTCTAGGAAGTAAGTATCACTAACCCAGCTTACAGGCAACTGCGCTAAACTTTCCTCTAACATTTCATTTAGCTTCTCCACTCTTCTACCGCGATCGTCATTTTTCAAGAGGAGCGGGTATTTTTTGTAACAGGCTCCGAGTGTGAGAGGTAGAGACTAAAAACTCATAGATTATCACAATCACAATGAGCACGAAAAGTAAGGCTTACAATAAGAATTATAAGCACCGTTTTGCCGACCATCTGCGACTGACAAGCACTGCGAAAAGTTGTTATTTTGCTTGACAACAAAAGCACGATAATTAGATTGCTCAGAAGGGAAATATTTGCAATTAGAGCTTGATTAATTTGCTCTAAGGGAAAGTGCTTGCAAAAACTGATTTTGCACTTGTTCGTTTTGCCTACTTCCATTGAATACATTTTATGTGCACCAACAAAAGTGTTTACGATTTATGAACAATCTTACTCGAAAACTCAGCTTCAAAATCAGTAGCCTATAAGTAGAAAGTAAGGTCGCATGTTGCAGTCTTTCGTAAACTAAACAGAGTGAAAATTGGCCTTCACTTCTTATACTCAAACTAGCACGTAAAAAGCTACCTTTCCGTTATCCGGACCCATTTCCTCAAAAGGCTCTCATATTATACGTTCTTTGATCTAAAAATAATTTTTTGTAAATTCTAGGAGGACTGCCTCCTTGCCCGTGTTACGGAAATAATTGACATTTCGACATTTTTTTCGAAATCATTTCCGGTGAGACAAAAGGGAATTTGTGATTATTTTAAAGTTGCTTAATGTTTTACATAAGCACAAAACATTCATGGACTTATTCTAGAACATCTTGCTGCTTTTAGCAGTGATTCGAAAAATGTATTTCTCTTCATACCCTTTTCGCCATGCGAATTTAGCGACTATAAATGACAGCTTGAGGTACCTTGCTGCTGCTTATTTCGCCTTTTAATTGACGAGATCCGAGCGCACATCTCTATCCTGAGCAAGTCTAATCTGTTCATTGATGATATTGTGCGTTATTATTATGACAATGTTCACCTTGTAACTGTTTGATTGAAATGAAATTAACTAAAAAACCGATTGAAATTACATCGCTAGGTAGGGGTAACACAAACTCTTGGTAAAACCTGTTAGACACGTGGATGACATTTCAATTTTTTTAACACGCGGCAGAAGGTTGACACTCCTTCCTGTGAGACTGGAACAAAATATGGTACAAGGATAAAAGCAGTATCTTTCTTTGAAAAAAATGGGTCCGGATAGCGGAAAAGTACTCGTGAAAAACTCAGCTCGAAAAGGTATTGCATCTAACACTGCTCATGTCATCTCAACAATCAATAGATTTTGAATGACTGGTGCAATGGTACTTCCCCCGATGAAATGTACTTTTTCATGGATGGGCTTGTGTGAACAGTGTAAAGCACTGCGAAGCCAACAGTAAGTAATCAGACCGAAAAATTCGGGAATGTGCAGGGTTCTGAGCGTATACTATAGGATTCAGCTGAAACATTTCTGTTAGGGTAAAGTCTGCACCCTGTGATTTTCATTGTACAATACAATGAAAATTATGTACATATGTATACATGTATATATGTACAAGTTCATTAGAATATGAAAGTCTTTGTAGACTAAGCTTACAACTTCTATATGCGAATATCCTCTTGTAACACCTTCCAAAAATGCCAACTAACCTCATAAAATCAAAACAAAGTAGAAGGAATTCTCTCTTGTCGATTGTATGATACGATGGCGGTAGTCAAGGATCGTGATTGGCTCCACATCTAAAACATGCTCACAAACTTCAAGCAAATTTCTTATTTGATTACAGAGTTTCAGAGTCATATACTGACTGCCGCTTGATTGCTACTCAAGGATATTTGTACCCCACAATTCTGCTAATATAATGTTTGTGAAGATCAAAAAGTCTTATCAGTATGCGTAATTTGATTGACTATATTAGAAGAAGCGAAGAATGAGTTGACTGCAGGATTTTGAAGAGAGTTGTCTTGCTCATAATTGTTTCTGTTTTGACTCAAAACAGAAACAATTATGAGCAAGACAACTCTCTTCAAAATCCTGCAGTCAACTCATTCTTCGCTTCTTCTAATATAGTCAATCAAATTGAGAGTTGAGCAAAAGGTCAGGCACAAGTCGTTCGGAAACGACCCCCCCCCCCTCCAGGAAAGCCCCCAAACGACCCCCTCCTAATCCTCTCCACCTCCAGAACCTCAGAGTGTGACACGCGGCGGTTTCGCTTCGCGCTGAAGGCTTTATAGCACTCCGCTCGCTGCCAGTTCTCACCGGGAAGCGACAGTGAGGCGATGAGGCCACCGCGCTTTTGGTGGGTTTTCGCGGTGGCTTTGTGGCCGCCGGCTGAGAGCCTGTGATTGTCTGAGTTAATGGGTCGGGCGCAACCCCTCAAAAGCTCAGGTGGCCTGACCTTTTGAGGGGTTGCGCCCGACCCCATTAACTTTATCCCCGAAGGCGCTTTTTCATCCAAGTTTTATGTAATTCGCTAGCACAAACCTCGAACGTTCTACAGTAGGTGTTTGAGCTTAGCTCAATTTGTCTCGGCTTTGTGGTAATCCGCGGAGTTTACGCTCTCAAGGTGGAAAACGCGATGTTTGGAATATTGGCAGTACTTAATAACCCACTATTTGGAAGCGATACGAATTCTTCCTAGTATAGACTATGGGGAACATTACTTTCTTATGAGTATGAAAAAGCTGACTTCTTTTATTTTTGAAACCAAGTTAATCATTGTTGAATTTCAGGCTTTTTAAACGATAGAAAACCCTAGAAAATGTAATAGGTAATGTAGTGCTAGTAGAGACGATTTAATATACTAATTACGGAAATTTAATCAATTTACACAGCAAGCTTCTTTGGTGACCTTAGTAGTGTCAGGTAACAGATGGAGAACTGAAATCTGGTTGAAACTTCGATGGAGTCAATTAATATGCTGTCACGACAGTCATTCCTTCAATTCTATTGGAGTTGTGATATGCATCGGTCTATAGCTTTTTCTTCACCTTACTCGATCTTAGTATTTCCTTAGTTTTGATCGAATTCGATTCTTGATTACGACCCCCTCCCCTCAGTTTTACCACCAATACGACCCCCCAGGTCGGGCGCGCCTAACCTCAAGCTCAACCCTGGTTTTGAGTGCCAAAGCATACATGCGTGTCAAAAAGTTGTCAAAAACAATGAAATGCAAAGCAAGGTTTTTTTAGCCTAGCCAGGAAAATTTGCTGGATCGAAGAGGAGACCGCGTTTTAGGTCTTTGTGGTGATACGTAGAGCTATGGACGTGCCTTAATTGACGCGTCTAGGTCCCAACCGTAACTTATCGCTGAGAAGAGCGGTGAGTTGAACAGATGGGGAAGCTGGTAGGCGGCTTTCTTCAGAAGCTCGAATGCGACTCAGACTATTTTTTTGTTTGTCGACTTTTCCCCATTCAAATCGTTCTTTATGTTTATCCAAATTCCGTGATACGTGAGATGAAGCCTTTATGTTAGGCTGCAATCCAATTCCATTTCACATCTTTACACAGAGGCCTACATTAAAATAATTTTTTCTAAACTTGCGCTGAGCCTAGAGAAGATTTTGGAGCAGGCTTATTCCAAAAGTACAGTAAGCAACGGGATGTAACAATTAACTGGAGAGGGAAGAGAAAATTCACGAAAGATACGTACTCGCACCCAATACTTTGTCCAGAATACACTGCTTGATCTTCTCTTTCCTTCATAAGCAGCATAAACTTCGCTTGCTACAAAGAGACATACCGAACACGCTGGATATATTTGTTCATTTTGGGGCTGCTTTATGCTGTCGGCGCTTACATTTTTTTCCTGATTGCTAACTTTGAGGGAGGTAATGGAACAGGAAACAGAGGAGCGTTTTCCTACATTTTATGGCGTTCTTTGATAGGTTATTAGCAATGATTGGACAGTGTGATCACCATCAGTAGAAGTATGAGTTGCTTATCAATTGGCAACGTCTTCCTCTTGCTAATCATATAAGTGCTCTCCAAAGATTTGAGTAAACTTTCTTTTTGTATCTTCTAAATATGCACTGCAATATCGTTACCTAGGCACTCGAAAAACCTCTCCTTTTCAAAAAAAAAGTTTTGATTCACAGCAGTCATGCATGTGTTTTTGATAAAATCCAGCACATGACCAAGTTAAGAAATATAGGGCCTATTTGAGATTTTATTTCTTCGCGTCACAAACATGCTTCAGGCCTATGACAAACCTCACGCAATCTCAGTCGCTAAGCAATCTGACACTGCAGCACTCTTCATAATTGGTCGTAAGCTCGCTCTCCTTAGACCAGACTTGATGCTCTTGCAATAGTTTAAAGGCAGTGGATCGGCAAACTTGACAGGCCGGGATCTAAACGCAGTAGGTTCCTTATCGTCCAAGTAGGAAAGCAGTGCAATCTCGGTGGCACAGCATGCCTTCCCTGAGAAAATCGCTCTCAAATTTACACGCGCAAGCCAATTCTACACGCACCCAGACTAGTTGACACCTTCCTTCTCACCATTGGGGGGTACCCGCCGCAATGCTGTAATCATTGGGTCTCGCAACGATTCAGCGTCATCAGCCTTGCTCCACTCGTCCAATTTTGAAGAAAAGGGGGGTTGAAAAACGCTTGCTTTAGCCGTTTTCGAGCTCTCTAAAGTGAGTTTTCGTGATCAGTGATCAGCGCATTGAATAACCCCAGGTAAGCGAAAATTTGACTAGGTTGAGGTTTGCCGAGCCACTGCTTCTAAGAAGCTATGCGCCTTTGCATTGGAAACCAGCGCACGATTATTCTGTAGACATCTGGCAAATCAGTAGCGTGGATGTAACGACGTGACGGTATTATGAAAAGTATGCTTTAGGCAGGGTCCATACTGATCCCTAAGTTCCAAAACAGTTCCATCACAGCACACAGTTCGAGCGCCTGCTGGAACCAGGGCCCGGCGGGGGTGGCGCTTTCACAAGCTGGATATCGTTTTTGGCCCGAAAAAGCAAAGGAGAAGTCGTATTTTGGGGTCCGGGGCGGAGCCCCGGACCCCAAAATACGATCCCCTTTGTTTACCGATAAACAATGCACATATCATTCTTTATTCATCATTCCTTGTTGATGCTACTGTCCTATGAACTTAGATTCTAGCAATGTGAAGATTCTGTGCTCCGATCGCTAGCCTGCCGGCAGGCGGGAATTCAAATCGCAATTCTTGTAAGAGGA